TCATCGACGTTGAAAATTCTTTCCAGTATTTTTTTTTCGATTTCTATATAGACAACTCACCACTTAGTTTTTCCCTTATTTAAACTCAACACGCTTCAACTCACCATATTTTAAGTAAGCACACCGCAACTAATTACACCAAAACTTACCATACCAAAACTCCCACACCATTACTGACCACACATCAACTCACCACATCATATCTAGCTACATCATAGCTCACTACAATGAATCTTACTGCGTTACAGTTAACCATAATGAAACTCGCAACTCTTGAACTCACCACATATCTATTTACAACCTCGACTTACCTCTCAAGAATATCGAATAAGACATAAACATGAATCATATCCAAGTAAATAATATATCTAAAACTATATATTTATCTTCACCAAAACATGACCTTCATATTATATTACAACTTCTTTCGTTTTTATGAGATTCTAAGCTTGAATAACTGTATCACAATTTTGATATGCTTGCGTAACTTAAACACTTAATTGATATGCTTCAAAATGAAAAAATTAAAAAAAAAAAAAAAATTAAAAAAAAAAAATCAAACGAACTTGCGACAAAGTATCAAATGATGGCAAATATTGAAATAAGAAACGGAATTCAAAGAACTGCCGCAACACCACAAATTGGCATCGCCGTCAAACAAGCGATAGCCAAATGACATGCGGTGGGTGGTGTAGAGTGTGTGGTGAGTGTTGAGTTGAGATTATCTAATGCCAATGGCAGACTAACTGTACGCGAATAATTATTGCAAGCAGATGTGGCAACATAAAAATGACTAGTTATTTACATAAATACCTACACACATGTGTACTCGTACATACATACCCACACACACAGTAAATACATTTTAAATTGTTGAAAAAAGTATAAACAAATCAATTTATTAGAAAAATATGAAGAAATATAAAGAAGAAAGAGACAACAAAGCATAAGAACATAAACGAAATTTACAAAAATAAGTACATTTGTCTATACAAAGATACAAGTATGCCATAACTATGTCTCATGTTGTTGCAACACCCTCAATTACTTGCCACAATTGCTCGCATTAAATTGATCATCAACAGATTTAGCAATTGTTTTTGCTTTTAATTTTATTTCTATCTTTTATTTTTCCTTTTTTTCATACGCTTCTTTTATTTAATGATTATGTTTGTTTCAAAGTCAAGTGGCAATCTATTGAACGCTTTATTTTTGTGTTCATTTTTTTTTACTCTAGAAATTTAATGATTTTATGTTTCTGTCTTTTTATTCTATTGCTCTTTTTTTTTGTCGAACTATCACAATTAAGTGTCTCATGACAATTTGCAGGATTTGAGTGTCAAGTTCAAATGTTTCAAACGGAAACAGCTGTGTCATATAAAGCTTCGGCAGCTGTAACGGGTGTGTAGTGGTGAATATACATTTGGGTTGATTGTGGATTTATCTTTATAATACCCTGCTGGACATTGTTAGAAAAACTTTTACACACTTTTATTAAACTCAACAAACATTCGGAATATATATTTCAGAGTTATTTTTTTTCACTGTAGGTTAGTTTTTCGGATGGTTGTTTGAATTATTTACACGTTGTCTTCGTATTTTATGGTATCGTCTGCTTTGGTTATAATTCGCTTAATTATCACACAATCAAATCACTCATGTGACGTATTAAGTATTTGTGATAAACTTGGGTATGGTGAGTTTGAATGTGGTGAGTATAGGTGTGGTGAATTAGGGTGAATTTCTTTTATTTTCGCATTCAAGCGTTTTTTGTAAACAAACTATCATTTTTAGCTAATTTTCAGCATTTTCTCTTATATAAAAAAACTTTTGAAAGTAATGACAGCTGGTCTCCCTAGATCAAAAATGTCAAATACCTATAGACCTCTGGATTCAGCAAGTTTCGCAATCACACTTAAGGAGGTTCCAATCTGTAATCAAAAACCATTTTGGCACATACTGCGCAAGCTCACAGTACCGTGTGGTTTATGAATAAAAATATATCCATCGACTGCTCGACTTGGTTGGGTGATTTTAGGTGATATTTAAGGAATAACGTCCGAATTTACCCCTCACTTGCCTCAGGAATACCAAGTGCCTTTGGCCACTTAGAGAATAACCACGAGAGCACACAGAAAACAACAATAATCATTGAGGTGATCGGTTTTTCGACCTTGGCGTGGTGAGTAATTAACTCTAGCATAAATAAAGTTACAACTCGACATTTCTTATTATCTGCGTTCCCGCCCACAAATAGATAATAGTTTATAAAAAAGCTAACGAGTTGACCGAGACAAAATCATATTTGGACATATACGAAGCGAAGATATCCTTCAAGAATGGAAACTACTTTGAGAGCACTCAAAAAAAATAGGTTTCCTTCTATAATTGTGAGGAAAAAGTCGTCCATTTTCTCAGATCAGCTTTTTCGCGTACTCGTCATATTGTATCAGGAACCATCTGGGTCCACATCTTTAGCGGTTACAAGATAAAAATAGTTTCTTCGAAAATACCGAACGGTTTGTAATCACTTGAGGAATCGTTTCTGATTACTACAGCAGTCAGCTGACCTCTTCTGTATGCATACTTTCAATAGAAAAAGAGGGAGAAAATAAGCCAGGAACAACTAAGAACGAAACACTAATCGCATTTAACTTATGCAACTCATACCTCACAGTGGCATAGAGTGCGCTGGAGTCGCTTTTTATTCATGATTATTGCGGATTTCTCAGTTCCCTTTCGATTGTGTCATCTGTTGAAATAGAAGTTGAGGATACTCCTTACATATCCAGAAAAGAGCAACTCTGGTTGGACGATCCGCAGTTGCAAACTTAACAAAAATTGAGGAAGCATAAGCGGCATTCTCTTACCTGCCTTAACGAGTTCGTGTGAAATCTGAGGTCACTTCAGAAAGAAGATCAGCTTTAGTTGACCATTGGTGCAGCTGATGATGGACATTAATCCTGAAGCAATCGACTCTCTATTAAAACATGTTTTTTTAGCTTTACTTGCGAGATTGTGGTTTGAGCTTGGGATGTACCATTTCATTTCAAATTTTCAAGACGAACATCACAAACGTTGTAGCTATTCACCTGGAATATCTAGTCTTTTAATTGAGCACATACCGTTTTCCAAGTTGTTGTGTACGTCAAAACTAAGGCCGAGCACACCATTGCCCAAGGGTTAGCGATGGATGGTACATGGACGTAAAAGAGTAGGTCCTTCTTAAAATTTTTGCTGCGGTGGACGAACGGGCTGCCACAACGCTCATTGAGGGAAGATTTTTAACGTTACACTGATTGTCATTCACTCACCAATGGAAGGGAAGTACGATGTGTCTAAAGATAACATCTATGAAAGCCTTGAAAACACCCCCGTCTGGACTCGTAACCAAGGAGTTGTTCTCGATATACGTACGCTCTGTGATGACTCAAATATCGACTCAAATCACTATCTCGTTATCACCAAGACACCAGCTTCCAAAATGAAGTTGAAAACTTCCCAAAACCGAAATTATTCTCGAAGTGATCTCGACAGATTGCAATGGAGGACTAACTGAAATACAGGATGTGACCGCAGAAATAGGAAATAAGAAATAAATAACTCAATTAGGGTATAAATAAAATTATATATAAGTGATCAACTACAATTATGCATACATACAAATCTACACGCAGACTAGTTTATCAATTCTGCGGCTTTGTTGGCAAGAAAACCATATGGTTTTGGTGGCAATAAGGGGTTACTAATATTTATGTTGCAGATCATACGATTTGCGCGCGCACAGCAATTTGAAACTTTATCGATGAAGATCACTGGCGGTTGCACAACATACATACATACATAGAGACGAGACAAGCATTGAATGGCGTGTGGCAATTGTCAATTGACATTAAAAACTATGCTTGCTAATGTAATAAAACCGCGAAAGCAGTGACGTGCCGTGCGAGAGGGTCACTTGGCAAGACTTTGAACTGCTCAATCGACTGATCGTGAAACGTGATCGCGTGCGCGTAACGATTTCGGTCACATTTTAAAGCTAACAACTGTATTTATTTGTGATTATCTCCCGTCAATGTTTTTGTATTTCTTATTTGGTCGATAAACCACGATAGCGATCGGCATGTTGTGTGCATCAGCGATCGCGTTGATCTTGTTTCATTTTATGTTGTTGCTATTTGCAATTAATTTTTGACATTTTTTTTTTTGGTTTTTTTTTGGTTTTTTATTTTCTATTTTTGAATTTCCATTAGCAATGAAATGAAATGAAAAGCTTTGTTGTTTGTTGCTGACGCGTCCGGCAGCTTAATTGGTTTACAGCATGTCGCTGCACAATTGACTCGATCGCTTGCTCTCTCCTCTACTCCACTCTCTGCCTACACTCGCCTCCTCTCCTCGCTGCGACACTGCCGTGCTAAAGCACTGATCCATATGCTGATTTTGGCTTTTCGCTTGTTTGTTGACACAATGACGTCAACTTTGGGGTGGGCAAATTCGTGGCGTGCATGAGAGTGTGTGTGTTGTGTGATTTGTCACATTTCAGGGGCTGGGAAATAACTCAAAATATGTTATTGTGCCATTATCAGCCCACGATCGGCGCAGTTCCGTATCTGTTCGGCGCTTTGTTGCTGACTCAAATGAAAACAAAAAACAAAAAAATGAAATTAAAAATTGAAAGAAAATTTTATTATAAAAACAAATTTTTGTTTTTCTTTTTTTTTTAATCTTAAATTTTTTATTTCGTTTTTTTTTCGCATCATAAATAAAATTGAAAATTTTTTCCCCTCGCACTCTCCTCACGCCACAAGATTTTTATTTATTTTTTTTTTGAAATTCTCTGCTAACAATTTTTATATTCTCAACTTTGCTGTTTGCCGCTGCGCTGAGTACGCTTGTTATAGTGTTTGTTGTTGCGTTCTGCTGTGTTGTTGCTTTTTTCCAATATTTTATCTCGAGCATAATTAAACTTTTGTTGAACGCGTTTACGTAGTCGCATTTGGCAAATAGTCGCGGTTTGTTTGCCGCTCCAAGCAAAAGTTCTTTTTTTCGGCGGCGCATCAGCGCGTTACTTACGAGCCTATCGCGTGCGTTCTCAAGCAGTTTACATAGTTTTTTGTGTTACTTTTTTGAGTTTTCCGGTTATCCTGTTCCCTTTCTTCGCGCCTGTCGCGTAACTCTCGTGAAATGTCTGCCGTATTTCGCGTGTTTTCTCGTCGGCTCTACGTGCTACTCCCCGTCATCAGCCTACTCTCTTTTAATGTCTTCTTTGTGTCTTGTGCGGTACAGCGTAGTTTGGAGGAGGCACGTCAGGAGCGTCAACGTTTAGTACAAAAGTATATCAAGACATTGAACAAGGAAGAGGGCGCGATACGGCTCGTGGGCGGCGAGAATGAGTATGAAGGTAAGTGAAAGGTATGAGTTGGCCGAGAGGTGATAGAAAATACTGAGCAAAAAGTACTAATTCAGCCAAAGGAATCAGCTCTGCTTATAGATTCGTGTTCATAAAGTCTGAGTTGGCTTTTCCCATACTTTGTTTGAAAGTCCTGTGACCTTAAGTAAGTTAAATTTGACGGGGAGAGCGTGGTAGATCTCAGAAATCTGTGACTTAAAAGGAGTCTCTCTGATGTAGACATGATGAGTTGGAAAAATCCGTGGAAAGCACAGTTTCTTCAAAATCTCTGTATTATTGAGAGGAAGTTTTGATTGAGCGAGGCTAAGCACCTTCTGGGTTAAGCGGCTTAATAAAAGTCTCAGAAGAATATTTCCATTTGAGAAAATCTTATGTTGGGATCTTATTGGTGAGAGCCCTAAAATTAATAGCCACATGGGAGTCTCTGACGTGAATGCTGGAGGATGACAAAGTATGTAAGCAAAGTCTAATAAAGAACTCTTATATCAAAGTTTCTTCATAAAACGCAACCAGTTTTTGTTGATCTTCAAGCGAGTCCTTTTCAATAAGAGGACCGTACGGAAAAAAGTGAGGAGGGAGTGCCTTTAAATCTGTAACCTAATGAAAGTTCCACGGAACGAGACAGCTTATGAAGTGGAGAGCTTTCATATAGAGTACTCCTAATTGATTCTTCCTTAATCTCTTCCACTTTGGTTCTGATTATTTTGTGCTAAAAATATTTCTATCACACAAAGTGGTCCTACAGATGGTAAAATGAAGAAAGATTGCTCCTAAACCTGTAACTTTACTCCTTCGAATTAAAGATCTTATGTCTAACGATAAACGCAGCGTTACATACCACCCGTCCAACCGAGTGAGGAGAGACCCTGATGTATAATCGCAAGATCTAATAGACCGGTGATATAAAACCAGTGACAGTTCAGACGGCTCTTAACCCAAGATCGATTGCGGAAGGTTTGATATGTTAGATTGCTGTTTATTCTTGGTTTTGTTAGAGATGTAGCTCAATGAAATTCTTAGGAAACCTTCTTTTCTACATTTATAGACTATTTCTTTTGTCTGACATACGACTGAATCAAAAAATGGGAATCCACCACGGAAAACGCGATCCGCGAGGCAAATTTTCGAGGTTATTCATAAGATTTTGATGGATCTTTCCGTCGGAGGCTTCTAAAACAAGGAGCTTGAGGGAATCGAGAACATTCTCTTGGCAATTGGTGTTGAAGAAAAGATATTCAAATTTATAAGAGAACCATTTTAATTAAAAATTTTGATCCGAAATAAGAATAATGCAAAGTTTTATAGACACATTGAGGATTCTCAGGCTACGAATGTCCGCAAAAATTGATATCCATTAACAACTTAAAACGATCTCACTCTCTTGCAGGTAACATCGAGGTTCTACACAATAACAAATGGGGCGCCATCTGCGATGATGAATGGGATGCCCTCGAGGGACGTGTGGTCTGCCAGCAACTGGGATATCCCGGCTTGAGGCGTGTTACCCAAGATGGTTACTTCGGCTTGGCGCGACGACGCTACTGGATGGATAACATGTATTGTGAGGGTAATGAACGTGAGCTTACAGACTGCCACTTTGACGGTTGGGGCATAAACGATTGTGAGGCAAATGAAGCGGCCGGTGTGATATGTGAAAGTCCGCATTTAGAGCGTAACACCGAGACCCCATTGGCAAAACTGTTACCTAAATTCACCCTACCGCATGCCTACCGCATCGAGCTAAGATTACGTGGTGGACGTCGTGCAAATGAAGGTCGTGTTGAGGTACGCATCGATGGCGGACGCTGGGGTACAATATGTTCGGATGGTTGGTCTTTACTTGAAGCGAATGTGGTGTGTCGTCAGTTGGTGTTGGGTTTCGCCCGTGATGCTTTGCAGACGGACTTTTTCGGTGGACTGGATATTGCGCCAGCTGTACTCAGTGGCACCGAGTGTTATGGTAATGAGACTACACTGGCGCAATGTCTGCATCACGATCATTTACGACCGCCAGCTGAATGTCACGGTGATCGTAATCATGTTGCAGTAGTGGTGTGTGATCATCTGGCGCCTGACCTTGTGGTGGACTTTTATGAGCTCGAACGCACTGCGCACTTAGAAGATCGTCCCATGGCGTTGATGCAATGTGCAATGGAAGAGAACTGTGTGGCGAATGAAGCGTATGACATACAGCGAGATGATCCCAATTGGCGTTATGTAACGCGTCGTCTACTCAAATTCACAGCCAGTACACTGAATGCCGGCAACACCGACTTTAGGCCATTCAAGGAAAAACATCTATGGGAGTGGCACATGTGTCATATGTAAGTAACGGCTTTTGGCATTACCTAAGTGTTCCCAACAATTAATTTCCTTTCGATGGGCAGGCACTATCACAGCATGGAAGTCTTTGCCACATTCGACGTGTTCGATCTTCTGGGTAATAAAGTGGCACAGGGTCACAAAGCCTCCTTCTGCTTGGAGGACAATCAATGCTTGTCGGGTGTGCCGAAGAAATACAACTGCGCCAATTTTGGAGATCAAGGTAGACTTTACTGTTGACAACTGTTAAAAATCTTGCACACTTCATTCATGCGTTCGTTCCAGGCATTTCAGTTAACTGTTCTGACATTTATCTCTACAATCTCGACTGCCAATGGGTGGACATCACCGAATTGGACACCGGTTCCTACGTTCTGAAAATCTCTGTTAATCCAGAGTTCAAGGTGGCGGAGATGAGTTATGATAACAACGCCGCAGTCTGCAATCTTCTATATACGGAAACCTATGCGCGTGTGGATGACTGTAGATTGGCAAGGCCATAGATCATTCCATTTAAGTGAATAAATAATATTTTTAAAGCGAATAATTCTCGCGCGGGGAACTAAACCAACCTAAAAAGTGCCAAAAATAGTAATAACTGATGGATATATGTGAAACCAAATATAATAAAATTATATTTTATATAATCTGTATTATTTAATTAATTTAAATTAATTTAACTTTCTTATTTTATTTTATATAATTTTATTTTGTCTTATTTTATTTATTTTATTTTACTTTATTTTATTTTATTTTATTTTATTTTATTTTATTTTATTTTATTTTATTTTATTTTATTTTATTTTATTTTATTTTATTTTATTTTATTTTATTTTACTTTCTGATTTCATTTAGTGTTGCTGTAATTAAATTTTTTGATTTTATTTTATTTCATTTAGTTTTCTTTACATTTCACTTTATATCATTATTTAATTTAATTTTATTTTATTTTAGTAAGTTTTATTTTGGTATTTTTTATTAGAATTTATTTTATTTTCTCAATTTTTTTTTTTCAATTTTTCTAAATCTATATTTTATTCCCATAATTAATTTCATTTCAATTTTTATCTGCTCTTTGATCGCCATTCACTGACAACTGTGATTACAAACATCACCAAATCGACCAGCTGTCATTGCCATCACCTATATTTTCCTATTAAATAAGTATATTTTTTTTTTGCCTTCATTGTTTTTGTTTGTGCTTCTGTTGTGCTACGGTTGCTGCTCACACAAACGCAATCAAATGTTTGCTTTGTTTTGTCGTCAACCGACGTTTAGTCAGCATTGTTGGCAATAATTTGTTGGCAATTGTTGTTGTTTATATTTGTTGCTATACTACTCGTTGATTACAGCCTGCTTGTCGTTAAACTTGAAAATCGCTGAAGCATGGCATGGCGTGGAGCGCATCAAAGCTCAATTCGGTGCTGCATAAAAATTTTCAGCAACAAAGTTGGTAGTGCAACAACAACGTCAACAACAACAGCAGTAACATTTGAATTAGTTGAGGCATCACCACAAGCAACAAATTTGCTCGCGTTTCTCAGTTTGATGCTCATGAGCTTATTGCTGTGATTTTTCTACGCTCATAGTTTTTTTTTTTTTTTTTTATTTGGCAATAAACTTTTTGTTGGCGTTAATTTGAAGCGTTGTTGGTTTTTTGTTTGGAGCATAGTTATCAACGTCGTGCCACACCGGCAGCAATGACGTCGAGCTGCCACTAACTCATTACGAGTTAATCGATTGGCTGGTGGCGCAAGGACGGACAAAGCTGGGAGATGGAATGTGGAATTCGAGCAAAAAGCGAGTCAGTTTGGTGCTGTGAAATGTATTCATATAAATGTGTATAGCGGAGAGTACATACATATGTATGTATATAACAGATTATACAAAAATAAGCGAAATGACATTGAAAAAACACAATGGCTAATAAAATATTTTTATTATTTTTTTTTTTGGTTATATTTTGTTTAATAAAAATAACAGAATAATTAATTAGATATTATGGGAAAGCATATTTTCAGCTAAAAATTCAAAAATTATAAGATTAATATAGAATGAAAAATTTTTTATTGTCTTGGGAAAACAATATTTAATATTTTTTTCAAATTTTGTTTTTTCTCCATAAATATCCGCTTAATCAGGAAAAGTGATTAAAATGTTGTTTAAGCTTAATATACTGGCGGCTCGCTCAGCTGATTTATAGCAATTTTAAAGGCTTTAAGTGCCTTCTAACCAGTTTTTCAGAAATATTTGAAAGAACTCCGTCTAAAGCTGATTAATTTTTTACTAATTCGAGGAGGAGGAGGAACCAGGAGTGGTCCGCTTGTGCTTCAAAAATTTGTATATCAGTGGGGCACCGAGGCTTGGTCAGCAAAACACGTGAAAAGCCGTTGAAATTCAGCAAGTGGTGAGACAGACTAACAGTCCAGCCGCAGTCAGATAGTCGAGTTATTAGGCTTTACTCGCATGAGAGTTCGGAAGCATTCAAAGAAGCTCGATATTTGAGTGCCACATGAATTAACACAAACAGAAAATGCTTCTGAAATACGACTTAATCGAACTATTTCCAAAGCGACTTGACACAATCGCAGGAAAATGAGTAAAATACGTGATAATAATGGGTTAAATACTATCACATCATTTTTTCTCTCACAGAGTATAAACTTTTCTTTACTTTAGAGGATTTTGAGCTCTCGCAAACTTAATTTAGTTGCTAATTGAGTGACTGTGTGAACAGCGATTTTTGCTAAATATACTGGTAATGTATACATACTAGTGTCGACCGTAATAGTGTAGTGGTGCATGTTACAATGGCTTCGAATCTCCGCCAGACTAACATTTAAAACTCTAGTAAAAAAGTTTCTAATTGCGTTCGCCCCTAGATAAGTGAGTGCAACTACCCCGAGTATATTTCTGGCATGAATTAAAATCTCATCGTAAAACAACATCAGCCGTTCGGAGATGGTTGATAAAAGATGTTTGTTGTTCGATTTCTTGGCTAATTATCGTACTAAGGTGAACACCACAAACATTCCCAATCCACTGAGCTTACGAGTTGAGTTTCGTCAGCTCTACTAAAGTCGTCTACAGTCAAGGCTTTTTCTCACTTTCGCAATAAATGTGGCGACATTTCCGCAATAATTTATTTTGGCTAGAAAGTCGCTTTAATACTCTCACTATAATTCTTTCCTGACATTTTCTAAATATTGTCAAAATCTGCGTATATTCTTTGCATATCAAATCTTTTCTCTCGCACTAATTGCTCTACTCATTAGCACATTTCACAGTATTGGAAGACAATTTGCTGCTAAATTCTAGTTATTTTACATATTTTATGAATTTTTCAAAGTTTATTATAGTAAAAATTTCTCTTCAATTACATAATTGAGCGCATGTGTGAACAGACTTTTTCGGCTAATATCGATACTAATTGCATAAAATTTGAAAATTTGTGTAGACTCAAAACGCAATTTTTATGTGATTGTTTTTTATAAATTTAAACATAAAAAAATCGGGAAATTTATCAATATTTCGTTCATTAAAATTAGTAGTCCGAAGGAGCGCAAATTCGCAAAGGAAAAAAAAAAAATTAATAAACAACAAGCGCAAGACTGTGGCAACTCACCTATTCTGACTTTCATTGCCTTTTAAGGTAACAAATTATTGCTTTATTCTTTCAAATGATATTTTAAATTTAAACACTAATCGAATTCACCTCCGCCACTCTAGTGGCGTGGGAGAAATAAACCAAACATCCAGCAGCGCCAGTCATAACAAACAAACAAAACACAAAAAAAAATTTTTGTTGCACAAATAATGAATTGTAAACAATAAAAATACAAATTCATTGACTATGCATGCAATTTGTTGTTGTTTGAATGCAAATGTTTAAAAAGCCGGCGACAGCTAAGCTGGGAAATGCCATATATATATATACTCGTATATATGTATGTTGGAGTATATCTTGATTGCTAAATTTAATTTGTGCTTTTTCCTTCCAATACCATTTTCCTACAAAAAAAATTATAACAAAGCTTATAATTCAATTAAATATGAAAAGAAGAGAGAGTAAAGCAACGAGATACAGTGTGATAAAGTTTGAAGAATACTTAGGAAGGTTCCAGCAGTTTTGTTTTTTCAGAGCAGAGTTAACAGCGGCGGAATGAATGGCATAACAAAAATGATCTGGATCAGGGACCTGTGGAATCCACCCTTCGATGCTCTCAATTAATATTAGCAAAGGACAACAAACCACTGCGGCGCATTCTAAGCAAATCCCTTTGCAATTATGGGTGGGTTGGCCGGATGGCTGCAGGGATCTGCGGTACTAGGAGTGAGTGGCACTTTATAACCGCTGATGAGGTTTTCAGCTGAGCTCCTCATTAAATTTGTAGTATACTTCTAGGAGACCTTAAGTTTATTTTAAGCCGCCTCTGCACAGCTAATAATTTTTTATGAGGAGCATATATTTCATGTCAGAAATACACGCGAAGGGCTTGACGTTCCCTACCATACGGAACCATCCATTTCGATATATTTCGTCAGTCAGGCTACCAAAAAACTCCACAATGTGAGTATCTATAAAATATAGAAACAACCTGAAGAAACTCTTGACAAAATACAACTCTACCGTCGTCTGGGTGGTCTGGGTACCCGTACATAGTGACATTTCAGGTAAGCACATATCAGACGAAATAGTCCACAAAAAAACCATGCACACGATATGGGCTAACCTTTGTCCACGGTAAAGTATGTAATAAAATAGACCGTTGCTAATGATGAAAACTCTGGATGACTGCGAGAAATCACGTGCAACGTGACCAGAGAGCCAAATCAAAACCCTACTTGTATATGCTCCTTGAACGGTTCTTCATTATCATAATGATAGACCCAATTCAAAGGCATTGTTTAATCGGGCTTCATGGAAAGGAAATGGGCTACGACTAATCATTTTTGTCGCAACTGCACGGAAGAAGAAGAAGACGAATAGTCCGTTGAGCAATACCACTGCTTGCTGCCCAACTTATACTCGTACATCTGTGCGGCAGAAATAACTCGGGAAACACTTATTCGATTACCGTGCTGAGCTAGCTCCACCTGAAATTGATAATCTCATTACTTTTAAATGACACACGAAACGAACAGACGCCTCAAAACGGTATCATAATGAGTCCAATGATCTAAATGCTTTGGTCACTAACCAAGAGCCGTATAAATTCAACTCAACTCAACTGCGACTATGGTTCTCTCTCTCTCTCTCTTTTTCTCCCCTTCGAGGGAGTACCTTATTCGTGAGCTCTCGGAAGCACCGATCTTACAATTGGTTTGGAGTTAATTTTTAGCAGCACAGGCGTCACCGGAAGATCATACAAAATTTTTATATAAACAATATTGAAAGATTGTGCTATAGGACTTATGCCTTCCACGATCGAAGGCTTAAAACTCGGTTTGAGGGTATTCAAAGACTTTACATCGGACTTGTTTGTTGACTGACGGTTGGGTATCGGTAGAAAGAAAGAAAATCAGCGATTGAAACAAGGGAGCGCTCAACATACGCAGAACTCTATACTATGCAGACGAGAAGTAGAATTCATATGCTTGGTCCCAGGTTTCAACAGCAATTCGTAGTTGTGTCAACCAAAGAAGG